CCCCAATTATACAGTTAAGTTTTAAACACATCCCAAGTCCATGTGCTGCTGATATCAGATTATTTTATTTAAAGTCTGAAGTCACCATTGTATAAGATATTTACTGGATTTATCCAATTATAACAGGAGACGGAAAGACAACACAGCAATTAGTACAAAGAGCAGTGACAGTTTTTGTTCGGCAAATCAAAAAAGTTAAATTTGTGAAAATGCTGTTATATAAATTAAAATAAATGATGAAAAAATGAATAAATAGTTTTTTTGTTTTTTTAACTTTTAAATATGCATATTTTGCTCTGTAAAATACCAAAATCCAACACAAATTTAAGCAAAATCAAAGTTTCCTTTGTTTTCATAAGCACATAATAATATAATGTTGGGGGGGGGAGGTCACCCACTTTTTTTATTTGATAGGGGGTGGGTCGACTGAGATTTAGAGCTGGCAAAATGGAATCTGCCGACCCCCCCTAGGCCGAAGTAACTGACCAATCCCTTATATTGCCGACCTAAACAACTGAGCGTGTCAACACCGATAGAGGGCGAAATATACATTAAATCATGGCGGACGGAAAAAGAAGTTAAAACCTGACAGGGAATAACTATCGCGATTATTAGCCTCACTAATTTTTCTGTCCGGTGATATAGTCATGGCAACCGCCAGCGATGAACCAGGCGATGCAGGAAATCGATTTATTGACCCATTTAATGCGCTCCTGTTTGACGTGGCAGACGAAATTAACCATGGTAAGTGGCGCGGCTCATGGAGCTAAATGCTGGTGTGTTGCAAGGGTTCCTGAAGGGCTCATACCACTAATTGAATTTCCATAGACGACAATGTTAACATATGACGAGATTGCTATATGAAAATGACGAAGAAAGTTGAAAATATGGCTCAAAAATGGGAAACCAACATGCCAGTAATCAACCATATGAAAAAAACTAACATGTTGGCCAGCTCAAACTCTTGCAAATCTCAGGTAAACAAGACACACCTACTGTATTTGGATTGCACCAAGAGAAATCACTGGAAAAACACCAAGATTAGAACATCTATTAACACACAGAATAAACCCACAGGTACACAGCCGCTAAGTAGTAAACAAAAGACCTCATGTTGGTCTCACCTCTGACCCAGGTGATTACGCCCTCAAACAGGGAGCACCTGAGAAAAATAATATTTAAAAAATTTCATTGGTTCTTGCTAGGCATTTAAATTGATTGGTTAATTAGTGGCATGAGACCTTAAGAGAAATAAGAAGGTTTAATAAAGTTCTTGTTGATCTTATATATGATGGAATATCATTAGACGAGTAATTTCCCATGCAAAAAAAATCCCCAAAATTTAAACCCTGGGAGTTATTTATCAAAATCTACCACTTGTGGCGCCCTATAC